ATGCATTCTGCTGTCAATTATTTCCATACTTTTCTTTGACAGGAAAACAAATAGCACAATGAAGTACTTCTCTAAAACATTAGCGTTGACAAGGCAAATATTGCACCATGATGCAAAATGTTTTACTGTATTCTTTCAGTGTTTTCCAGCATTTGCAGATAATACAGAATTACCATCACACATGACACGATGTGTGATGAAACGATTTACATCCACAGGTTACATTAGCTGAGGTTCTTAATTCTGCAGATGACATACTCCTCTTTCACATCTTTTCTTACTCACTTTCAGTTGCTTTACAGTCTGGGCCAAAGTGGTGGACACACTGACACAGTCATTCATATCAGTGGTCAAATGCAAACATTTTAAATGACTGTGGTACTCCTTGTGCCTAACTTCTTACACTTTCTTTTCACTTCTTTTCATCTCTCCTTTTACTTCCTATCCGTTACCTTCCCAGGCTGCCTTCCGCACAGACCTCTCTGTACTGCTGGACCAGGTTGGGACAGGAAAGGAGTCACTCAGCTTTATGAAGCGCAGAATCCGTCGCCTTGCTCAGCAGTGGGCAACAGCCGCCAACCGCCTTGAGGCCAAGCTGGAGCAACGATGGAGGGACCAAAAGAAGGTGAGAGAAGGATGGGAGAGATGAAAACAAAAAGGTGATTGGTGATGGAAGATGAGGGGTAAGAATGGAGTGGGAATGGAGGAGTACAACAACCCAGCTGAACTGTTAAACATGAAAACATTAACACACATAATGCAGCTGAGTATGAGTATGTTCAAGACTCAAAGTGATCTACAGATGCTTTGCAGCAAAATGTAAGTTTCAAGGTTAGCTAAAACCATTTGATTCAAAGATGCTAGGCATGGGAAACACATAAAAAGCCTTTTTCAGATTCCTCTTAAAGGCTTCTTAAAGAGAAAAATTATAGAGGAGGTAATGATAAGTTGTCATCCATCGCTGCTGTCTGCATTCTAATTCTCTAATCTGTGTTACTGTCTTCATGTACCCGCTCCAAAATATTTTTCAAAGCTATATAGTGTCAAATAAGAATTTACTCCATTACTATATTGTTCAATTGTTCAACCTCATTTTGGTTGGCACCAAAGCAGCGCAGTATGGACTTCCTGCTTGTAGCCATGCACACCAAGGGCTGAGTGTGAGAGAAAAGGAAGAAAGAGATGCAAAGATAGATGAGGGAGAAGAAATGAAAGGAGGTAAGAAATTATGACGATGAATGATTTGGATTATTATGAAATGCCAGGCATGTGCCAGTGCCAGAGGGAGAGGAATGAGATGAGAAAGGAAGGACAAGAGGAGGATGGATGGTAGAGGGGAAGGTACTGTAGAATATGGATTAGGAAAGAATGAAAGATGGAGGTGGAGAGTGGAGTCGTGAGACACCTCTGAGATGAGCAAGCAACAAAGACTGGAAAGCCAAGGTGGGTGTTTCATTAAAAAAATGGTTAATGATATAAAACTATGGATGTATTTTAAAAGCATACTCTTTCAAATGTCAACGAAAGCAATATGTAATTAAAACTTCAGGAGTCCTAGAAACTTTTCTGCTGCATGTAACCTTTCACTAAACCACATTTTAGAGCCTACCTATTACACTCCTTACCCTGTTCTGAGTGGACTCATAATCTTTTAGTTAAGAAAATAGTGATAAATGAAAGAGTTAATGTGAGGTGGCAGATTGAGCATAGAGTGCTTCTTCTCCCCAAAATGTTTCTCTCTGCCCCCATCTCTCCCTAAAATAAGTTAACAAGGGTGGAAATAGTCCTCTGTCACTGAGATTGATGTTCTCCTTTCTTGTGGTGCACTGGGGGGATTTGTTATCCTCTATCATGGCTTTGTGGCTGCTAGAACAGCCCATACGCCTTACAACGTGCTACTGCTATCTCAACAGCAGATGTCGTGGTGTTTGTAAGAGTTCGCCTTGGCTGTCAAAAGCTGTTTATCATAATAATTAGAAACGGATGTAAAAAATGTGTGTGTTTGCCAGGTCTGGGTCTGTCTGTGTCTGCCTGACTGCTAATTGGATATCATGGCAGTGAAAGCCAAGGGCAGAATCTCATATGTTTCATTTTGAAAATTGTCCATCCCTACCAGTCAAATGTATCTTTTTTGACTGTTACACTCCTTCCTCAAAGGAAGATTCATTTGCATTTAAACTTTGAAATAAAAGCGCTCACTTTAATATTGAGAAGGGAAACACTGTTTGTTTGATTTTAATTAACTCTGACTCAGGAAAAAAACATTGTCTGATGTGAATTGACTATGGCCTTGCACCCACCTAACCTTTGTCTTTGACAAAATCCCTCACTTCCAATAGCAATTTTAGCATTCTGCTTGAGTGTGCAGTCTTTACAATTCCAATGGGGCTCTGTTGATTCAGGTCTGTTTCCCTGTTTGGCTTTCTCTTTGATTGTAAGCGGAATGGATGTTTACTCAGAAAAAGAATAAATTAGCAGAGCAGAGAGGCAAGTTTGAAGGGAGAAAGGATAGAAGGGGAGAGGAAATGAGAGAAAAAAGCAAGATGATTCTTTTTAACTTTCAGCAGCAACACAAGGACAGGAAACCGGGAGGTGTGTGTGTGTATAAGAGCGACTGTGGAAACTTGATGAATGTTATTCTCAAAGGTTGTTTTTTTTTACAGATTTTCTACAGTCAAAAATATTTGAGAGATAGATGTTTGAGAGATTTTGTATGCATAGTGCCACGGTGAGTGATGAAGTAAAAGTCTCCTTTAGATATTCTAGGAAATCTTTTTATTTTGTGACTATTGTCGGCCCATTTCCTCAGTGCTTGTGGAGTTCAGAAAGAATACAATCAACCTTTTGCTGCACTTCCCTTTCAAAGCAGTTAGACTCATCTTTTTTTTTCAGTGCCGTTATCAAACTTAATGAAAAGCCTGGGTCAACCCATTCAGCCATTATAACGTAGCTGATGGAACATTTTGTGTATAACAAATTGCTGTTCTCTTTTTACTAGACATCAAAGGAGACATTCAGCAAAGCTTTGTTATAATGGAAAGGTTTTTAAGAGACAATAGCACAGATCCAAAGACACTGACCTTATCCTGTTAACCTGCTGCAATGAATTCACCACCTGTCTGGTGTTTAAGTGTCTCAGCAAGTGACTTTGTGTACATCTGAGCCTACTTGGTGTGTGTTGAGCCTGCACATTTAGTGTGTCAGCATATGCCAAATTGTTAATTTCCCTGCTCCCCGTGCCCTCTTGAGAGGTAATTGACCTCTGACTGATGAAGTGCAGACAGTGTAGGAGACTAATGGGATATGGAAGGTGCAGTGAGGAGGTGGTGGTGGGGGGGGGGCAGGTCGGAGCCATATGACAATAAGGAGGAAAGACGTGAGGAGAAATAAAGAGGGGAAAGTAGTCTGTACAGGTGTAAAAGGAGGATGACGGAGAAGGTGAAAATAAGGGTAAAGTAGTGATGGTTGGCAGTGCCAGCTTGTGTTGCCACCCGTGGCCTTCCATCGGACAGCTGCGACCTTCATAAGGGCCACAGTGCATGAGCGAGTAGGGTCACACATACATTCAAACACACACATGCGAGATCTTGCACCAACAGATGCTGAAACAAGCATTAGCATTCTTCTGTCGTTAGCCTGTTAGTGATGAGTGGAGCAGAGCAGAGCAATGGAGTGGTACCACACACTTGAGAGCCACTTCTACTCTCCTGCTCTCATATGTACGCACCAAGGACTTTCCAAGGATTTTATGAAAACACAAACTCATATTACATAAAACGATCCTAGTATCGGCACATGAAAGACAATACATTTCCTGCTTCACAGCTTATGCCAGTTAAATAAAATCTCAAAAAACCCATTCAGAACAGAGATGATATTGTGAAAAAACCTTGATTTGAGGGGTGGCACATGAACACACACACCAAGGCAGATGGGGTGTTGTAAAGGTGAGTGAGAGATTTGAGCGTGCGTCAGTATCGTAACTCTCTGTCTGTCTCAGCGGGTTTGGCAGGGCTTTGTGTTCGATCCCCATGGGATTTAACAGTTGCTTCAGATCCTTTTGAGAATTCCCCGAGCTTGCGGCAAACGAGCAAGCATTCACACTGAACACACACAAACATCCACACACACTGAGTTCATTGATGTATGTCAGTGGGAGACAAATGCGCAAAAAAAAAACTAAAAACAAACAAAAATTCTAAATCCATCAGTAAACATTCACACACTCACACACACACACCATCTGGGAGTACCATAAGTCCACTGTATAAAGAGCTCCACTCTCTCGTGTGTGATTAGATTCCTGAGGGAGGCAGCTGGCCATGATACAGGAGTTTATGAGGAAGCACAGCTTTAGCTTCGGAGTTACTCCCCCTGTTGTCAACTTCCCATTGTGTGGCTTTTCCACCCGTTCAGCTTCATTTTCGAGTGAGTGCGTGAGCAAATATGCGAGAGTGTGTTGGCGGTGATCAGCACCGTAAAACACAGTGAGAACCACCCACCCTAGTTCCTCTCTCCTCTCCGTTCTAGCTATTGATTCTTATTCTGTGATATAAAGGTTACTTCTCCAGCATTGTGCTGATACGTTTCATTGAACTCCACTTTAATTCTGTTCCTGCCTATTAGAGTGAAAGTGAAATCTCTCCTCAGCAGTCTAGATCATGGGTGCAAGTTGCCAGGTTTTGTAAAGCACCCTTACCTCTCTCCCTATTAACTTGTGTCTGTGTGAGTGCCAGTTTTAGAGAATCCAATCCACAGTTATTCAGCTCTGCTGCCACTGTGTGATATTTCTCGTATTTATTTAGCAGTGCTACTGTGCTGCTGCCAGTATGAGAAATTTGCCTCCTTCTGTCTCCATTTTGGCGTGGTTGCCAGTGTTTGTGTGATACACCCTCACCAGCACCACAGCCACCACAAAGCCAAGAGAGTGAACAGTATTGGTGCTGTGAATTCTCACTCTTGCCATCTGCCACCCAAACTGTAATTAAATTTTACTTATCTTTTTTATGAAGCAGAAGTTAATAGAGCAAGCTTATTAAATCAGGGGATTTTTCACGCCAGCTGGAGTGTCACTGGAGCTTGACTCTGCTGCATACGCACCATTGTCCAATGTTTTACACACATTCTGGACATCAGTGGAACGACTTTAGTAGTTGTACTGGATGTATACAGCTATAATACAAAATAACCTCTCCTCACTATATATAAAATTATAATCATTTTTAATTATTAAATATCAGATATGGAGACTGCTGTTTTCTCTCTCTACTATTCAGACACAATCTTTTCCAGGAAATGTGTAGGAGGAGTATGTGTACATTAGTGCATTGTCGCTAATGTGGCATGATGGAGAGGGGAAGAGAGTGCACACTTCTAAAAAGCTCTTGGAAGCTTTTAATCATTACCTCCACAGATCAGAGCCATGACGGTACAGACACATGCACTTACAGTACAGAGCATACATACAAGCAGAGAGAGACAGAAATAGCGAGATGAGACATAGTAAGAAATCACTGTTGAAACTTTCTGGCAACTCCACACAGCTGGTCTTAAGCTCATTATGTATGTTGCATGGAGGTGTTCATGCTGTGTTAGTTAATCAGGATTACTCAGGAGAGCAACGTTTGGACATGGCTGTGTCTAATCCTCTGTGAAAGGCAACGTGTTGCTCGGTTGCACTGATTATGCAGTGGCTAGGTGGGCATGTGTGAGAGGACTGTATCCAAAGTGCAAAGCTGTGTAATAGTGCAACATATAAGCTGTGATAGTTCCTTTACGTGTGTTATATGTTTTAAAAAACAAAGGAGGAGATTTTGCCATTAGGTGTCTAAGAATTAGGTCTGTATAGGCATACGGTGCATGTGAAGTTGGACCATAAAGTCCATAAAGATGGACTTCTACACGTGCATGCTATTCCATTGGAGCATGAGGGGATAATTCGTTGGGGATTTCAAAGAATTACTTTTCAGTTTCCATAATTTTCTTTTTGGAAGAGTCTGAAATTCTAATGATTCTAATCCTCAAACTCATTAAAACAGTTTGCACTGCAGAAGCTTAACTTTCAAGGAGCTTAACTTTAAACAGTAAGCACATATATATATAAATAATATAATGTGAATCAGATTAACTTAAATGTGCTTTATAATATACACATTAAACATTAAGTGTATATAAATTACTGCATCACCAGATAAGACATGTTGTCTGTAAAGGACGTTATTTTAATAAATGTTCTTTGAGGTACATACTAAAGAATGGCTAGTGTTATGTTCGGTGGTGGACCCAAAAGTAAGACATAGATTCAGAGGTATGGTGAAGTTAAGTAGCTTTTATTCCAAAACTTGCTCAATGATGATGATGAAAGGGTTGAGGCACAAGAGTGGATGGCTTACTGGAGGCAGAGCCTAGCGGGCAGGCAGACGGGTGTGGTGTAATTCTAAAGCAGAGATTAAACTAAATAACTAAAACACTAGGACACAAAGAAAACCTGAAAAACATACAACTACTAAAGTGACTGAGAGATTTGGTGCCAGAAGTCTGTTAAAGCTGTGGATGATATACTCAGCTGTCGAAGAGATGCAGGGCAGGCGAGTGGGAATGGTGGACAGCGGATTTCAGACAGGTGTGCAGATGAGCAGAGCTGTGAGCCAGGAGGGTAGCCACACCCACAACACACAGACACAGAGACAGAAAGAAAACTCAAGGGAAAATGCAGGAGTGAAGCCATGGCCATGACAGCTAGATGTTTTCAGGTTTATTATCTAACAGGAAAAATACACTTTTGGATTGGGTTATTGCTGAGTTCAGAGCTACTGCTATGCAAAATGTGAAATTGTGAAACAGGTTTAAACAACAAAGTAAGGCCTAGTTAGCAGCAGGACATCATTGTATAGGGATACGTTTTGTTAATGTTTATGGTTTATTAAATGAAGAGGAAGTTACACAGAAACATACTCATGCCTTTTTTAACCTTACCTTTCAACTTCATCACATTAAGTGATAATTAAGGTTTATCGCAACTCAAGACACTACCCAAAAGAAGTTGGACCAAGCAAGAAACTCGAGCAGTGAGATATTGGTACAAGTTTTAAGCAAACCACCATATTAGCCAAACTTATTTAGAATATTTTGTCCTACTGAATTGTTCATTGTAGAAAAGTTACCAGATCTCATTGTTTACCTTGGTATCAACGACTGTTATGTTTTCATAACCAAAATAAATTTCAGCCAAAACTATTAAATTCAAACTCAAGTTGTAATAAACCCATGAAGTAATATTAGTTAAAGGGGATATAGATGATAAGTAGTTGTATATATAATTTAAAGCCTCTGCATCAGTTGAATATTTAATATTTAACATCCATGGTATTTTTTGCGGTCGATACTCTTGTCAAGTGGAGGATTGTGGTGCAGCTTCTCAGCAGACTTTTATTTTAACTCTTTGCCACAATGTGTGCCTGTATTCCTTTAGATCCTGGTCCATGTGGGCTTCCTGACAGAGGAGTCTGGAGATGTTTTCAGCCCCAAAGTGCTGAAGGGGGGTCCTCTGGGAGAGATGGTCCAGTGGGCAGACATCCTCACTGCTCTCCATGTTTTGGGACATAACCTCAAGATCTCCATGTCTGTCAAAGAGCTGCAGGGGTGAGTTACTCTATGCTAAAGCTACCGAATGCTCGAATGTTTGACTTGTTGTTGGTTGTGGGTTTTGAGCAGGTGATGATGCAAATGTTGACCTCATTTCTCACTCATCAAATCAATTCTCTGGTCATCATTTCCATAATATCTCCCCTTCAGTGAATCAGTGTTTGCTTCTCTGCAGAAAAGACCAAACTGTGGATGTACCTAGTTTGACTACAAAAGCAGCACATACCAGTGGTGTTAGGAATGTAAAAGCAACAGGAAGGATTTAGATTGCTGAAGATCAAGGAGTTAGTGCCACAATTAAACCATTAACCAGAATAAACCTCTATCTGAACTGGTATGGACATGTTTGCTTTGAAAAGAGCTATTGATTGGTGGGGTCAAGGCTACACGTAAACAGTTCTTTCAGTGCTTTCTAACATCTACATGTTTTATTTAATGTATAAATTACTTTCACTAATGTCATCTTGTCATAGTTGTATTTAACATGTTTATTAGGTGGGATACAAAATGTCTGCCACAAAATGACCCCTGATGGCAGCTGTGACAACAAACCGATGATCTTTTACAATCCTCCTGTTATGCTAATGTGATCACACATATTGTATTCAAAATGTGTAAGACAGCATTGTGCTTTAATTACAGCCCATTCCCACTTATCCTAAAGATTAGGTATGAGGGCCGTAGGTTTGTTGATTTATTTGTAGCTGTATTGATCTCATATTGACACACTCCACAGCTTCCTGTCAGTGTGACTGCACTGGTGTGTGTCTTTTTATCCCATGCGTCAGCACGCTTGCATGTTTCTGCTGACGGATACAGCTGTAGAGCCAACACACACACACCGATGGATGGATGTAAATCTACCCTGTTGGGAGAGATCCCTCAGGCTTGTTCTGTCCAGTCTGTGCAATATCTACTTCATGGCGGTGACTGAATAAATCACACAGGTTGTCAAGCTCCCTTAAGATGGATGGCTAATGTTGAACAGTAGAATTATGAATAGGTATGAATTTGAGAAGACAAGTGAATCGTACAGCAGATGGGAGACGTCTTTGTTCAGCCTTGATTGGGCCAATAGTCTTCGTCTTTCTGCCATCGTTGATCACTGAGATGGCACATGTATAGAGTATAGATCAATATAATGATGTCTACAGAGAACCTGCTGTACTCTTTCTACACTGTGACAACTCCCACAAATCATAGAAGAAGTATTGTATTGACCCCAAGCCTTTGGCAGTCATTTTGTAGACATATAACACCTCTGCAGGGAGCAGGAGAGAGTGGGAAAATCTAGAGGCATTTTATACTTAAAAAATGAGTTTAGAGATGGCGGGGACGTCCACAAGGCTGAGTTCAGTTGTCAGACTTGAAATGGATGGCAGGAACGTTTTTAACTGCGTATGTGTTACTATAGTGTCTCGGGACACCAAAGGGACCCCCATTTAAAAACTGGTCTTTCTCACAACCCAGGATGGGATCTTTTTATTTTTCTACTTATTTTTACCAGCATGAAGAATTATTTAGTTCACCTTGCCCACATGAAATGGCTTTAGAAGGAAAAATAGCTTTTAGCTTTGGATTACTCTGGGAAGTAGTCTAATCTTTCTTCAAACCGCATTCGAATCCTGACTTGGTTCTTTTAAAAACACTGGTGTGAGAAAGAGCACACCAACTCTGCCTCCTGATGTCAATCTTTCTACATGGTTTGCTGCAGGAAAGTGGTCAATTGTTTTTTTGTTGATGTGTCACTTTTTTGTTTTCACACCTTTCATTTCCCTCAGCTCCTGCTTTCAGTTCGACAAGAAAGTTAAAAGTTAATGCAGTTTGGTTGTCATGGAGTTATACAATAAAAATTAAAATGCTGTGTTTTCCTTGTATCAGATATTGACATATTTGTCTCAAAACAGATATGTCAATATCTTTATTGATCTTTGGCTCATCATGATGTTTAAAGAACCTTACAGCTACCCAACATACCTAACCTATCTAAAGGATAATATGATAGTTTAAAGTGTCAATTCAGTTAAACCATCAATGATAAAATCAATTCTTGGCAAACAGATGTTGCTGAAAGGAGGATACACTGTTTTTAGCCTTTAGTGGCATTCTGATCCATAAGGTACTCCTTTGTGCTGTCATGCTATGTAGTTTTAGTGCATATCCATCCACCATATTTTCTGCCTCGCTACTAATCTACACACAACTACATGGTGATTCGTGATTTGAAAACCATGAGTATTGATTTTCTGTTTGCTGGCACTGTAAAATACATAGAGGGTAAAAACAGTATTTGTGAAAGAATGAAATCATCAGACACAAAAAACACATAATAATCTGCTTCATCCATGATGTTTCTCTGTACTCTCACATATTGGCTTTGTGTATAGTAACATCATGTCACGTAAATGCAATCATCATTTTTTGTCAGGAAGAAAGGAGGAAACCATAGTGATATTAGTGTCTTTTGTTGATCTCCTTGTTGCTGTTGATGTTGATTTATTGTGATACCGAGCCAGAGTATTGTCTGCTGGTGTGATAGAAATAAAAAGGTATACTGACAGATAAACAATTTCCTATTACATTGTTAAATAAGTCTTTTAGAACTTCTGACACTATTTCAGTTGAAGTTCATATTTCTTTCTCTTCCTACTTTCTCTTACTTATTCTAATATTGTCAGTTTTTTTTAGACATACTGCACTTCTCCCTTTATTCCTCCTATCCTCAATAATCTGCCAAAGACAGGAGGTGATCCATTGTGAAAAAATTTTTCCTGAAGACAAACAGTTAGATAGATGAACAGACCAGGCAGACAAATCTGACAGTGTGGACAGGCACGCCGACCGAGGTGAAAGGAAAACCAGGCAGACAGATAACAATTTTCCCAAAGAGGCTGCTTAGTTGAGTCCAAACACAGATTTGGAAAGTTTTCTCTGCTTCTCTTTGGGCAACACCAGTGTTAAAACAAAACTGAACAAAGAGTGCCCAGGGTCTATCCACCTCCACAGCTCCACAATGCTGTGTGTGTGTGTGTG